AGTGCCCGGTGAAGAATGTGATGGGATCAGTAGAATGTCTGCGGAGAGCGGCCCTGGGACAAGATTGAGAAATCTGCCCGTAATGGGGGATGGACTAGAAACTACCCAAATGTCTACAACGCAGGCCCAGGCCCAACCCCAGCAAGCCAACGCAGCCAGCACCAATCCCCCACCCCCGGAGACCTCAAATCCCAACAAGCCCAAGAGGCAGACCAACCAACTGCAATATCTGCTCAAAGTGGTGCTCAAGACACTATGGAAACACCAGTTTGCATGGCCTTTCCAGCAGCCTGTGGATGCCGTCAAGCTAAACCTCCCTGTGAGTAGTTTGAGCAGGACCCAAGGCCAAGTCCTCCAGGTCTCCTGCACTGCTCCTGGGGAGGACAGACTGTTGGGCAGGGTAGAGCTACACTTTGAGTTGTGAAAGCATGAACTCCAATACCTGCAGAGCACCGAATGGGTGGTTTTAGCAGTCCTGATGAATGGAGATGGGGAAGGTCAGAGGATGTACTTAACGGCTTAAGCAGTAACTGGTTTCTTAAGAGATTGGAATCCCAGGAAATAATGGTGTAGAGAGTGATTGAAACGAGGGTGAAGGAGCACTTGCAGTTTTCCTTTCATTCCATGGAGAGCTGAAGTGGGAGCACTTGGGGATCTGCCCCTTGCTTCTTAGGCCCGGTCACCTGGCCTAGGAGAGGTAGACACGGTTGGGAGGGGGCTGGCTTGCTGCAGGAGCACTATTCTTCTGGTAATGGCACCATCATCACCCAGAGCACAGCGCAGGAAAGGTAGATTATCTTCCAGGGAGCCCATTCATGGAGGTGGTCTAGCTGGAGGGGGTGTGGGTGCAGCTTTGCCCCAGCTGCCTCTGCACACTCCCTCACGTCTGCCTGCCCCATCGTGGCCATACTGCACTGGTTCTTTGTCTTTTGTACCCACGCGCCTCTTTTCTCTCTAGAGAGGTTTCCGTTTGCCCACATCCCTAGCAAATGATTCTGGAAACTCAACTTGTATCCCTAACAGAACCTTGGGGAATAGATGGGATAAATGTTTTTTCTTTTCTTTAAAACATCAAGGACTGATTGCCTTTAAGTTTCCCTCTGCTGTTGGCCAAGTCCCACCCCTGCACCCCCTCCCCTGGACAAGGGATTAAAATTGAACAACCCAAGTGGAGGTTTGCTTGCTAGAACTGCATAGCTGTAGGAACCTCAGCCAGACATCCAGTTTCAAGAAGGATGAATGCACCAGTGTGACCCTCCTGGCTTGAAGGTCACTGTGTCTTTGACAACTAACTGTTCAGTACTATGCTGAATACATGTCATGTGAACTCAGGAAGAGTCAGAAAGGGGGCACTGCAGGTCTGGGTCATGAACTGGCTCAGGAAAGGGGATAGAGGCAAAAGAGGGTCCACCAAATCTGGGCTTTAGAAGCCACTCTTGTCATTGACGGTGACACTGAGTAGAGACAGCCAACCTGTCACTGGAGGGAGGCTCTCTTGGGAGAGGTTGCTACACTGGTCCCTGGCTGAGCCAGTCGTGCACAGTCCATAGGTTAGGATGACCTTCCCAGAGCAAATGCAAAGAACAGGGAGACGAAGCCCGGGGGTAGACACCAGGGGGGCCCTCAGCTTTTAGCACATCAGAGGGAGGTGGGAGCCTGCACAGGGGAACAAGGAGACCTGCCTTCAGAGAGCAGTCTCCCATGTCTCCATATTGGAGGCTCCAGGGAGGCCAGAGATGATTCCAATCTGACCCTCCTGTTGGCCTTTAGGAGGGCATTGGTGACCTTAGGAAGATGTGTCGCAGAAGTAGAAACCAGATTCTCAATGGTGTGAATGAGAAGGTGAGGACACAAAGCCATCATTTCAAGAAATTTGGCTTTGAAGGGAAACACGACGGGGCCAGAATGGATGAGGGGTTGGTTTGTGCAGAATGATGCAGAGCTAAGAGGGCGAGGCAAAGGAGAAAGGGGCCTGGGGGTACCCAAGATCCCCAGAAGACAGCTTCCCAGCCAGTGGGACAGCCACAAGGGAGAGTGGTCTTTTAAGCCAAGGGCTTTGGGAGTTCAAAGTCTTTTCTCTGAAGTGGAGACTGGGCTCCCCAGGGGCACAGTGTGTGAATCCCCCTGTCTATGACTCTTGAAGTCACCCTCAGCATCTCTGACATAGGAAAGAGAGACTGATCAATGGTGGCACTGACCCAATATCTTTAGAGAAGTTGGAAATTGTGAGGAGCCGGCAGGAGGCAGGGGCTGGTTGGCTAGGAGCAATGTCATGCTAAAGCCCAGTTTTTTAGGGACCACCCCCACCCCAGGAGATGTTAATAGGGCCAGCCAAAAAAGGGTTCCTTTTTCTGTTTTCTGATGCCTTCCAGATCTTTACTTGTGTTTTGGCCCCTGGTCCCTGCTGGATGTTTCATTAGAATGTCTGCCTCTTTCAAATTCAGTGCACATGTATGGTTGGACTAAACCTACTGCCCCCCTTGTCAGTCCCTTCCCCCTTTTGTCTTCATCTCACCTCCTCCATCCTCAATCACTGTCCTGTTTGCCTTTGAGCCACTTGATACACCATGGTCACTTTAAGCAACTGACAACATTCTAAGAGACCTCTGGCCATAAAATAAAATCTGAATTTCCACTTAAGCAGTTATATTTGGACTTGGTTCTCTTGGGAGAGGTGGTCGGAGCATAATATAATGTAGAAAATCTAGCTCAGTCTCCCCTCGCAGCCTCCTGGCCAGGGTGCCTAGGTCTGGGATCTCGGCCAGCCCTTACATGTAAGCCGGTGGCTTTTGTTCTTTTCTTTTGGGGGTCAGGGCAACTCAGAACCTCCCACCCCCAGCTCACCTTTCCAGTACTGCACACCACTGTTCCTGGGCAGGACCTCAGCACTTGCTAACAGATAGGCCTGCCCCTGCCATCGGGCTTCCACTTGGACTTGGTTGTGATTCCCCATCAAAGCCTAGTTCTTGGTGGGGTCAGCTGGCTGCAGGCAGGTCCCTGAGCCTGCTGGCCTTCTGTTGTCCTTCCATCTGGAAATCCAGGTGCTGCCTGAGCTGTCCCCAGATTCCCCTGTGGTTGTTTTTAAGAGTAAACGTTTGGCTTTTAGTATTACAGATTTAGAGAAAAGTTGTGGCAGTAGTAGAGTGTTTGATCCGAAGGACTTCAGGACATCTACGCCTGCCATCTGGCTCCTTCTGTTTAACACTTTTAGAGTAAGATCCGAGGAGTGGGTCTGTTGGGTTTTTTTACTTGAGGGTTGTGAAAGCTGTGCGGATTCCTCATTTGGCAGTTAACTTGGTTGGTTGTTAGTTGTTCTATAGTGGTAGACTGTGTGCAAGTCAAAAAAGTGGAAGTCCAGTGAACTTGACTGAAGGTGGAGTTCTGCTCCATGGTGCTTCAGTGTGACAGAAAGCAAGGGATCCATCCAGTTGTTGCGGGTGGGCTCAACTGCTGGTTCTGTACTTTGTATTTTATGGACGAGTAAAATTTCAAACGGTGGGGAGAAAGTACAACCTGCCACAGGTGGTTTTACTAGATAAGCACTGTTCTCCCTATTTATTTAAAATGGAAGGATATATTAACATCAAAAAAATAGAAAAACCTAGATATCAGCAAAGACAACCTATTCCCAGACGGGGCAGTTGGCAAACTTACACATTTTCCCTCCAAATTACCACCCAGCATTTGGGTATCCTTCCCTGGTTCACTTTATCTTGGGGTCCCCTTGAGATTGCTCACTGATGCTGTGGAAGAGCTTCAGGCTGTGCACCTGTGGGGTGATCTGGAGTGAGATCCGCAGACCCACCTACAAGAGCTGTGTGGCTGCAGAGGTGACATTGGCCTTTGCTCTCTCTCCCTCTGCTCTCCAGGATTACTATAAGATCATTAAAACACCTATGGATATGGGAACAATAAAGAAGCGCTTGGAAAACAACTATTACTGGAATGCTCAGGAATGTATCCAGGACTTCAACACTATGTTTACAAATTGTTACATCTACAACAAGGTGAGATGGGGGGCCCAATGTCCAGCTGCCCATGTGGAGGGGAGGAGGAGGAAGAGGCAGGCATGTCTAGAACCCGTGGGCAGGGGTGCTGGAGTAGGCGGGATTGGAGTCTTGCAGAGGAGGCTGTTAGAGGTAGGGATGATATTGGGTTGTTGGAAAAGTCATGACATATTTTTTCTATGTATTGTTGCAAAAATGCGTCATGACTTTTCAGACAACCCAGTAGAACCCATGGTCTTGCCTGTGACTGGTGGGGTTTTTTTTTGCTGGGAGAGGGGTGCTGCCATGTTTTATTTCCAAACCGTCCTTGTTAGCTTGAAGCATGTGCTTCCGGTACCCTTGGGATTTTGGTTCCTGAGCATGTCTTAGTAGAGAAGGTGTGAGAAGGACCATGACAACTCATTAAAATGCCCGTTTGGATGATATAAATTGTTGGGAAGAAGGCTACTAAAATGTAGTTGTGCAAAGGTGTACTCAAACAGAAACCTTGATGTGAGAGGGGGCATTGGGGCCCACCACATCTGGAACTGTGAACATGACTATTGTCAACTTGGGCCATAGCATCAAGTGTCCCCTGATGTTAATACATAGACCTGAAGATCACTTCTTAACCCATTAGCCAAACCTTTCGGCTCGGCTATGCCATGAAGCCGGATCATTTATTTACAGTTCAGACCACAGATGTGATTAAAACCAACCCTTTCAAATAGAACGGCCCTGGAGGGAGACACTATACAGAACTCAGCTTTTGACCTCTGCTGGTGTAGTGGGTAAAATTGCCCAGAAGAGATGGGTAGGTGAGTTTCTTGAAGTTTACCACATTTTTAAGTCTCAGCTCTCACCATTAGGTTTAAGCGAAATGTACACAGACAAGGTTCTCATTTTTGAGCCGATTGGGGAACAGCATGTTACAGACAAGGGGACAGTGGGGACCCATAAGGCAGTGTAAGTTGGACGTTGCCCCAAGCCCCTTGATCTGCCTTGGGGGTACACTGGGAAACATGGTCAGAGTCCTGCCAACATATCTATGGCAAGAAATCCTTTGTAATTCAAGTATATCTAGTGAAGTTGAATTGTGTCAAATGAGGCTCTAATGGAAGGGAGGGCCCCTGTATGTGATTGGAGATTGTCAGATGCTTAAGGCATTAGAATGGTTTCTCAGACAGGCCAAAGCTTAAAAGGCTAGAGAGGGAGGTGCTGACTCAGCAGACCTGCAGGCACATAAGCCTCTGTAGTGCCTGGTAGTGGAACTGTGTTGTGGCCCTTTGGGGTTCAGTTCAGAGACCCTGAATATGATGCTTCACACTTTGGGGCAGGGGTGGGTGGGTGGCACAGTGTGGGGAGCTCTGTCTGTCTAGAAAAATAGGAGGGCTTTCTGACCCTTAGCCCACGTGTCTTCTCTTCCAGCCTGGAGATGACATAGTCTTAATGGCAGAAGCTCTGGAGAAGCTCTTCTTGCAAAAAATCAACGAACTGCCCACAGAAGAAACGGAGATCATTATAGTCCAAGCAAAAGGAAGAGGACGTGGGAGGAAAGAAGCAGGTAGGGGACCTCTAGCACTGTTAGTCGCACACTGAAAGAGCAAGGAAATGGCCTTATTTCTCCCCAGTCTTTGCCCTTCTCCACCCCCAATGGAGGACTAAGAGTGGTGGGAAGATGGCTGCATTACACACTGGCTGCCATGTTGCTATTTGGATATAGTGGGGCCAGTTGTAGTGGTGGATCTGCCCCAGAGGGTCCCATGACCATGTGAGCCTCTCTCAATGTAGAAATAACAGCCCTGCCTTTTTTTCTTTTTCTTTTTTTATGAACTTCAGTTAAGAAGAAAGTGTAATCTTGTCAAAGCATTTTTAAGTTATTTGAATTCTTCACCCCGTCAGTGCATAAATAGTCTGTACTTTTCCATTTTAGAGAAAAGAAATAAATCTGACCAAAGGCAATTTTAACTAATATCCCTATCCTAGAGCCTTGAGGTTTGTTATCTGAATTATCTTAATCCACTTGTGTTGGAGCCATGCCTGCTTTTTGGTGCCAAGTCTTCTGAAGTCGAGGCTGTCTTGTCTATCTCAGCACCCACTCCTGCCTTCTGCATCTTGCCGTCCACGGCTCCATGCTGCAGAATGGTGGCACTGACAAGGTGGCTGTGCTGTGAGCTGTGTGCCTTGCTTTCACCTGGCTTCCCACCCTGCTCAGAAGTGATGGCTTCACAGGAGCATAGAGGGGGCCAGCTGCCCTGCAGTGCCGAGGGGTAACCAGGGAGAGCTGGTTTAAAGGGTCAACCCTTAGCCATAGAATGTGCTGAGAGGCGTCCAGCCAAGGGACCTCACCCTCCCTCCCTGGGACCAGGGGTTTGGTCTGCAGGTGGGGCAGATGTGGGGCCTTGTATATCCGGGCTCCTCCGCACAGCTGCAGGGAGGCATCAGCCAGCCAGCCTCCCCTATGGCTCAGGGAGGTGGGGGCTTGCCGGTTTCCAAATGCCTTGGCCACGGCTACTGATGCCGGGCCCCTGCCAGGAATGCTTACTCAGAGGCAGTGCTTTTGGGAATGAGGACAGCACTGCCCAAAAGCTCCAAGGAACATTTTTCCGCCCTCTGTCCACAGTCCTGGTGCTGACTCTCGGCGTGTATTTCCTGTTCCTTTGGCCTGGGCTTCCATGCTCATGAAGGGTCTTTGTGCCCAAGTGGGGACTTGCAGCCAGTATCCTCTGGGAAGTGTGGAATGCAATGTGCTGCTGCTGTGAGAGCTCTTGGGACAGGTGGCCAGATTTGGCCAAGGTCCGGGGTGTTCAAGCAGTTCTGTCTCTTAGGCAAATAGTTACAGTGACACTGTGTGCCAGGCCCACAAAGATGTGTGCTCCCCACAAGGTCTACCTGTATATGTGTCAGGCTCGGCATCTAACCACATGTCCCTTTTATGATTGGTAGGGACAGCAAAACCTGGTGTCTCTACGGTACCAAACACAACACAAGCATCGACTCCTCCACAGACCCAGACCTCTCAGCAGAACCCACCGCCTGTGCAGACCACACCTCACCCCTTTCCCACCGTCACCCCAGACCTCATCGTCCAGACCTCCGTCGTGACAGTGGTGCCTCCCCAGCCACTGCAGACACCCCCGCCGGTGCCTCCCCAGCCACCGCCGCCACCCACGCCAGCCCCCCAACCCGTGCAGAGCCACCCTCCCATCATTGCAGCCACCCCACAGCCTGTGAAGGTGAGTATCTCATGCATGCACGCATGTGTGTGTGTGGCCCAACCTCACCATTAGTGACCTCTTGCCCTGTTCCCCCCACCCCCTTCCATAGCAGCGAGGTTGGCAGGAGACAGTCACCCACCCATCCTTGCCGGTACTTCATGCAAACCCTGTCTGGTTCCCGGGGCACTTGTGGGTGTTTCAGGGGGATCTTGCTGTGTTTGAGCCAGCACATCCCAGAAGCTGATGCCCTGCTGTTGACCCAAACACCCCATAAAAGAGTCACTCATCCTGGGGCTTGCTGACCCCTCCTATTTCTGACTTAGACCATGCATGTTGGCAGAAGCTGGCTAAATAATCTCTGAAATGTGTCTCCCACAGTGGCTAACGGGCAGGCCTTGCTCTGGCGAGCCCCTGGCATTGAGTAGGAAGCTGCTTCAGGAGATTTCATTAGCCTCCGGTGGGCAAGTCCTGTACTCAGTGGCACATTTCTCCTACCCCTGGCAGGGACTTGTCCCAGCTGCAGAGCAGAGTAGTGGGACAGGGCCTCCCTTTCCCCGGGAGGGTTGGGAACCTGGGAAGGACCTGGCCTCAGGAGTGACCCCAAGGGCCCACTATGCCAGCCGCACCTCTGACCGTACTGTCACTCATGTACTCTTGGCAGACAAAGAAGGGTGTTAAGAGGAAAGCGGATACCACCACCCCCACCACCATCGACCCCATTCACGAGCCACCCTCGCTGCCCCCAGAGCCCAAGACCACCAAGCTGGGCCCCCGGCGGGAGAGCAGCCGGCCTGTGAAGCCCCCAAAGAAGGATGCACCTGACTCGCAGCAGCACCCGGCGCCAGACAAGAGCAGCAAGGTCTCAGAGCAGCTCAAGTGCTGCAGCGGCATCCTCAAGGAGATGTTTGCCAAGAAGCACGCAGCCTATGCCTGGCCCTTCTATAAGCCCGTGGATGTGGAGGCGCTGGGCCTGCACGACTACTGTGACATCATCAAGCACCCCATGGACATGAGCACAATCAAGGTGGGCAGGCACCCCTTGGGCCAGGGGAGGCTCCTGGGAACTGTGCCCCAGCTGCTCTCTATACTCCTCACCAGCCCAAAGGGGCCCAGCGCCCCCTGCTGGGAACTCTGGGGACATGTTCCCAGACAATGGCGATTTTGGTCACAGACAGCAGTGCTGCCCCTGCATCTGCAGGCGAGCCCTTCTTGGCCTTGGGGCTCAGTGCCCACAGGCACCTTACACAGATTAGATGCCGCAGGAGAGAGTGGGGGTTGGTGACTTTGCCAGGCTCTGTATCATGAGCAGGGACTTAATGTCTTCTCTCAGAGGAGGCACATAACTCTTGGCATTTTCACTATTGTATTCTGAGGCCTTCTGTTTTTGTTTTATTTTAAGCTCTTTTGCATTTTTCTCCTGGTGGAGTAAGCCTGCCCAAAGATGGGATGGGCACAGCAGAGGACAGTGCTGTGTTCCTTTTGACCATTATTCTGTCCTGTGTCACCAAGACCAGTGTACGCCTGGTCAGAACTGGGCCCGGCCCTCTCCTTCGAGCTTAAGCTCTTCCTCTATAGAGTTTTCTGTGTCCACTTGCCCCATAGCCAGGCACAGTGACCCCATGGGTGGGTTTGCATCCTAGCAGGGCAGTTCCCAGCCCTGAGACTTGCTGTTGAATGTCTCCTTGTCCACCTGATGCTGAGAACTAGGGTGATCACTTCTCTCCATGGCCTGGGGTAAACCCCAAGCCCCTGAGGACACCAGCTTGCTCCTACAGGCAGTCCTCTCTGCCGCCACCTCCTGCTGGAAGAGGCAGACACAGCCTGTCTTGTCTTTCCAGTCTAAACTGGAGGCTCGTGAGTACCGTGATGCTCAGGAATTTGGTGCTGATGTCCGGTTGATGTTCTCCAACTGCTACAAGTACAACCCTCCTGATCATGAGGTGGTGGCCATGGCCCGCAAGCTCCAGGTGAGGCTCTGGGAAACTCTGGGTGTGATGGCCTGCGACAGAGCAGGCCAGGTTCCTGAGCCGGCCAGGTCTCTGGGCCTTGGCAGATTGTGTCTCTGTCACTTGCTTTGGTGTAATGCCATGTTGCTTTGGCAGAGTGGACTCTGTAGGATAACTCATACATTTCACACTGGGATTGTTTTGTTATGAGTAAAGCAGGGGGGGTTGGTTTTGGTTTTGGTCTTGGGCATTTTGTTTTGGGGTGTCCCACTGAAAGCCCCCTCCCCCCCCACCTGCATTCTGTTGCCCTTGGCCGGAAGAGCGCGTGTGCTGTGCATGGCCCAATCTCTTCTCCAAAACAGACCTGTCTCAAGTCGGCGGGGGACACTTTTGCCAGGTAGACACTTTGTCACAGTTGTGAACTAAAGTAACTGCTCGACTGTGGGCATTTCTTCACCAGAGCCCTGAAGCCTTCCGGCTGCAGGGCAGCTGCATCTAGATGTTCCATCGTGTGGCCACGATGCCCTAACACATGGGATCCATGGCCTCTTCAAGTGGATCCAGGTGATGCACACTGTAGAGGGCACACGGGGGGAAGGGAGGGGCAAATTACAGCATAAACGTGTGAATTAACTACACATTCTTTTTTTTTTTTTTTAAGGAAAATATATATATACCCAGTATCAACAGTTATCTGTACCTAGAAAGATCAGGGATTAAAAATTATGGAGAATAAAGCCAATATTTAGTACTGTTATAATCTGCCCTTTTTTTTTTTTTTGCTATATAAAATTATATATATAACATAAAAATGCCCTGCCGTCAGAAGGTGCAGGCACTCTGGCTGGAACTCAGGTTTAGTCTGCACATCTGAACTCCAACCCCCACCTGGTGGCTGGGCAGGACTTCCTCATTCCTGCCTTTCCTAGCCATTTGTGGAGTACTTCTGGGGCAGAAGTTAGGACTTACAAAAAGCCTTTGGTGACTTGTGGATCTGCTCGAGTCAGAGGTCACCTGAGCCCTGCTGCCCACCTGCCTCCTGTCTGTTAGCTCTGCATGTTGTCCCACAATCAGTGCCATAGTATCTCCTGCCTCCTCACTGGAGCCAAGGCACTGTCTCTCCTGTTCTTTCACTTGGCCCCTGTCCTGGTCAGTTGTGCCTTGGTTTCAAAGGTTGTGTCCTGAACTCTTGTGGTAGGAAAAAACCTTTCACTAGTGTGGACCTGGCTATTGTTATTTAAATGCACACTCAGACTTGAAGGTTTTTAATTTCTACTGTTTATATATAGTTTTATTTTCTCTTAGTGTTTTTTTTGCTCTGTTTTGTTTGTTCGTTCTAAATTGGGGAATTGGAGGAGGGCAACAGTGTTGGGGAATTGGGGAGGGGGACCAGCCAAGTTGTTGTTCTAAAATCTTGGTTGTGGAGGGTGCCAGTCGGGTAGCTCGTGACGACCTCTAAGCTCAAGGTGCTGTGTTACAATCTTAGTTGCGAGTGGGTGTAGCCACCATCCCATGCAGGAGTCGAACCAGCAGCCTTGTTATTAAGAGCGCACACTCTATCCATAGCCATCCGGGCGACAGCTCAGCTTAAGATGCCGAGTTCAGTCTTAGTTGCGGGCGGGCGTAGCCCACCATGGAACAGGCAGTCTTGTTGTTAGGAGCTCGTGCTCTCACCAGCTGAGCCATCCTGCCGCCTGTTAGCAGCTCAGCTCGGGCGCCGTGTCACTGACCCATGTGGGAATCGAACCGATGGCCCTGTTGCTCAGAGCTTGCGCTCTTAAGCTCTTAACTAAATGAGCCATTTGGCCGGCCCCTGTTTTTGTTTTTGTTTTTTTTTTTAAGAGGGGGGCCCCCTTCATTTGGTGCTGTCTGTTGGCTTTCTTCATAGAGCTGCCTGTTCACTATTTTACTTTTGCATTTCCCATCCTTGAAGGAGCTCAGACTTTATCATTTTACTGCAATTTTCATATGTGGCCACCAGGTGGCAGTGGTGCCCCCAGCACAGCACCTTAGACAGACCTGACCCCCCCCACCCACACCCCCAGGACGGAAGTAGTTTTTTCCCACGTTGATACCCACACCCTTTATTTGCTGTTATGCAGACAACTAAATCAGAGCAAGTTCTCTGCGAGCACCAAAGGTTGCTATTTTGAGCAGCTTTATTTAAAAAGAAGAAAAGAAAGCATTCTTTAATATATTCTAGCTTTCTGTCTTCCTAATTTTTGTGCCTGTTTTAAGGTTTTTTTGTGTTTCCCTCTTTTTGGGAGTGGCGTGACCATGCCTAAACACAGTGTTTACCCATAGCAAGACCACTGATATGCTTGCCACACAGCAGCCTCTTTCTAAACGACCCCCCAAGCACCAGGTTGGACTGCATGAGGTCCTTGCCCTCAAGGAGGGTCCACTTCAGAAACGTGCAGTACCCATGTGGGCTAGCACAGGACTGCCTCCGCCCTCAGTCTGCTTTGCCTGCAGCAGAGTGGCTCACCATGTTACTGAAAGTAACACGCCAGGAGGAAAGTGGGGGAATTGGCATGACAGGCTCCCTACGCGGACTTCTCATCTGGAAAACAGTTGCAGTGTTTATGGCATTTGGTCTTTGTTTTTTTCTTTCTCTCAAAGCTCTCCCAGGTCAGCATGGTTTAGTTGGCTGGATTCCCCAATGGAGAGGGCGATAAACAAAGTCCCAGCCCTATTTTGCCTTTGTTAAGAGGTATTGGGACCTACAGTCTCTTGGGCTATGCCCAGGGATTGGGCTTTACCCAGGAAATGTGGTATGGAAGAGGATCTACCTTGTTTTCCTCTTCCAGCCTCTACATTCTGGGCCTTTCGAAAATCCACATCCCACTACCTGGCAGCCATGGTCAAAAACCTCTGAGCTCAGAGTTTCCTCAGGAGCCTGAGGGTGGCTTGGAACCACAGCTGCTGGTGGTACTGCCCTCTGCTCTGTTGTGAAGTGAGGAATAATTTAGGAAGTTTAGTACCCATGTGGATTACCAGTTTTATTTTAAGAAAAAGTGCAAATTCAAAGTGGTATGCAATTATTTCTAAAGTAAGGGAAAAAATTAAACTGAGAAGTATGTTGAGATCCTGCATTAGATCCCAGAGACGGGAAGCTTGGTGGTGGGGGTTGGGGGGGGGTGTGTCTGACTGTCTTCTACTCACTGCTGCCACCCTAGCACCTGGCACCTACCTAGTGGCCTCCTGCTGCCTCCCTCTTCCCAGCCTCTACATACTGATTGTGGCCAAACCCCACAGCAATATCCAGGCATGGCTGAGAAGGGGCTGACCTGGCCATACTTCTCCCCGAGGGTCTCCAGCTGCACTGGCCTTGGGTCATTTCACCTGGGAGGTCTTTGGGCACTGTGGCCTCCCAACATCTAAACATCTCTGTTTCACTAAAAGGAGTATGGGGTGTGTTTCCCCTAAGAATCTGATGTAGGCCCAGAGTAGGTGACCTGGTCAACATTCAAGTGAGAGGAGGTACTTGCTCTGAAACCAGTGTGGTTTGCTGATGCAAAGAATCACAGTATGTGTGGCCCAGACTCTCAGGGTGGGGTACAGATGACAGCATGCCAGACGGGGGAGCTGGGTCCACCCTGAGATGCGCCAGAGTGAGTGCCATCTCCCGTTTCCTTAGCCGCCCCACCCTGTGGGGAAAAAACAGGAACGTCCTTGTGACAAGGGTAGTGCTGCCTGGCAGCTGGCGGGGAAGCTGGGCCAACAGACAGGTGGCACGAGGCAGCTCCCACTTGGTAAAGGGTCACCTCCCAGTAACACTGAGTGCTGGGCCCTGCTTGCCACCGTCTTCTCTTCATGACACCTTTTCAGACACATTTCTCCAACCTGCTTCCTGTTTCTTGGGAGCAGGCCTGGCTCTTCCAGATGGTTGTGTGGATCACTCGGGGACCCATGCCTGCCCACATGCAGGCCATCGTGCACAGGGAGAATCTTATTTCCCACCAAGGCCTCTGCCCTGGTGTGAGGCTCCCTCCCTCCTCCTGTCTTTTCATTTGCCCTTAAATGTGCTCCAGGGTTTCTCTCTGAATAAATTAGAAAGGTGTTGCCCTTCTAAGACTTAATCGCAAAACTACTCAGACAGCAGAGTCCGGACAGGTACCTTGCCAGGAGGAGCAGCTGCCTCAGAGGAGGCCAAACTGGCTGGTCTGGAGTGGAAGGGACAGCACCACAGTTGTGTAGGACACCTGCCCTGCTGCCCAGGGGGAGGGGAGATTGGAACCTGTGACATCAGGAGGGCTTCCAGGGCTAGACCTGTCAAGTGTGCTCCGGTTTGAAACAGCAGCCTTAGAGCTCAACCCCATGGCCTTCTTGGGCCTCCTGGGCCGCCGTGCTCTCTGTAAAGTCCCTTCCGTCCTGTGAGATGCCATGTTGACTAATTTAAGGCTTAAAGCAAATCCCCAAATCCTGCTGGGAAGCCAGCCCTGTTCCTTTTACTGCTGTCCTCTGTCGTCACTAGATTTACCATGATGGAGATCTCTGGGTAGGGAGGGACCTGCCAGCTGGTTGGTGAGGTAGCACAAAGCTGGACCTCTAGGTGCCAAGGTAGGGCTGCTGCCCCTGAGCTCCATGACCCCACAGTCCCATCAGATTCCTTGATCTTAAGAGTAGGAAGTCTCAGTCTCCTGGGGTAGGATCCTGAACTCAGTAGCCCCGTGGCTTCTGCTAAGGTTGCTTACACCTCTCCACTCTGGCTCCCCCGTGTAGCTTGTCCTCAGCACCCCTACATTCACTGTCCTGTGTCTTTCTCACTCTGTCTGGCACGCCCTGGAGACACCTCAGCCAGTGGCACGGCTCTACTTAGTTACACGCCCCAGAGGTGATCTGAGGAGGCAGACACAGACATGTGCCCGCTGTAGCAGGAGCTCGGCCACCTCACTGGTCGCAGGCTCTATGCTGACAATACTTGCACTTTAGGCCCTTTGCACGTGTTGTTTCCTCTGCTTGGACCACTCTAAAACTGCAGAACCCAGCCACTCCCTGCGGGAAGTGAACTGGAGGTGGGCAGCACCTCCTGTTCTGCCCACTGTTGTGTCTTGGTGCCTGGCCCTGGCATCCAGAAGGCTCCCTTAGGATGTGCTGACTGAGTGCCAACCTGATGGGAGCCACAGGGCACTCCTAGGGGTCCTGCCTGCAGCCCACCATCTAGCAAGGATTCCCCAGACTGACATCTTCAGTGGGCGGCTGCCTTCTGTGACTTATGTCACCTATCCTTACTTGGGCTGTGTCTCCCAGGGAGTGGGTGCCAGGCCACATCAGGAGCACCTTTATCCTCAGTGTGAGATTTGAGAGAGGCGTGTCGGAATTGCTGCCAGGGAGCCCTGGCCAGCCTCTCGACTCAGTGACAGGAAGAGGGTCACTGATGGCCCAGTCCTCTTTGACCCTCCTGCTTGCTTCCTATTCAGTTGACCCCAGCAGCCAGTGAGGCTGTGGTGATGCTGGGCCGTGGCCCAGCCACCCTCCGCCCATATGCCTGGGGACCCAGCAGCCCTGATGGGCACGGTTTTCCCCCCAGGATGTATTCGAGATGCGCTTTGCCAAGATGCCAGATGAGCCTGAGGAGCCTGTGGTGCCTGTGTCCTCCCCTGCGGTGCCACCCCCCACCAAGGTTGTGGCCCCGCCCTCATCCAGTGACAGCAGCAGCGATAGCTCCTCGGACAGTGACAGCTCAACTGATGACTCTGAGGAGGAGCGAGCCCAGCGGCTGGCGGAGCTCCAGGAGCAGGTAAGGGCACCAGTAACCCCAGTCCCTCCAGAATCTATGAATTGGGCAGTCTCTCCAGAGTTCTCCACAAGATGGCCGTGGCTCAGAGTCCCAGCAGGAGCAGAATTCCCAGTGGTGCCCTCTGCTAAGTCACAGGCATGTTGAACACACAATATAAGTACACTGCATGTGGAGGTGGGGAGACATGGTGGTTCCTGGGCAGAGGCGAGGCTTCTGGATCCTTCCAGACGCTGGAAGGATCGAGCCAGGGAATCGTCTCCTAGGGTTTACATGGTCGCCCTGCTCCTTAGAAGCCAGCAATCAGGCTCTAACGTCCCAGTGTGTCTGCACTACTGCCCAGCCTCCTAGGGACCCTTCTCCTGGGACCAGGATAGCAATGAGACTCGGGATCTGTTGGCTTTGGCTGTTTTTCTGGCCATCCTTGGAGTCCAGGGCTTGGGTGGGATGGCACTTTGGAAGTCTTGCAGGACAGCAGGTCACAGAGCTAACAACTAGCCCCCTCCCTCATGCCTGGGCCCTGACGCCTGGGGGTCCATGTCAAGACCAGGGTGACCAGTGTGTCTTTCCTGTGTGCTCCATAGCTCAAAGCCGTGCACGAGCAGCTTGCAGCCCTCTCGCAGCCCCAGCAGAACAAACCAAAGAAAAAAGAGAAAGACAAGAAGGAGAAGAAAAAAGAAAAGCACAAAAAGAAAGAGGAAGTAGAAGAGAATAAGAAAAGCAAAGCCAAGGAACTTCCTCCCAAAAAGACCAAGAAAAACAACAGCAGCAACAGCAACACAAGGTCTGTGCCCTCAACTTGCCCCAGTGGGGACCCCACCCGCCCCAGTTGTAGGGTGGTCACCTCTGCCCTTCTCCCCAGGGAGGGAGTATGGCAAATAGTACGTCCAGATAGCAAGGACATGCTACAGCAACCTCCCCACCCCCATCCCGTTTCTGCGAAGACCAACTGGGTAGAGGCATGGAAGCCTCCCACAAGCCCCTAATGAAGGAGTGGGTGCCCGGCTTCCTGGGGGACCCATTCCTGATGGCGCCTGCATCGTCCCTTCGTAGCAAGAAGGAGCCGGCACCCATGAAAAGCAAGCCCCCTCCAGCGTATGAGTCAGAGGAGGAGGACAAGTGCAAACCTATGTCATACGAGGAGAAGCGCCAGCTCAGCCTGGACATCAACAAGCTCCCAGGAGAGAAGCTGGGCCGAGTGGTGCACATCATCCAGTCACGGGAGCCCTCGCTCAAGAACTCCAACCCCGATGAGATTGAGATTGACTTCGAGACCCTGAAGCCATCCACCCTGAGAGAACTGGAGCGCTACGTCACCTCCTGTTTGCGGAAGAAACGAAAACCTCAAGGTGCCCTTGGCCTCCCTGGGGTTGGACGGGGTTCCAGACAAGGGAGGGTGGGATGAGCTGCTTCCTCCTGCCCTTTCGACCTGGAGGTTCCCTGGACACCTCAGGTGACTCTGCCTTCCAGACTTGGCCCTTTCCTTCTGCAGGCTTTTTCTCCAGTGATAAAATCTGTCCTTGACATAGTCACCTCTGGATGGGTGTAACATCATACTCTACCCTGGGCTGTCGGTGCCTTTCTTGGCTTTTCTGGCTGGTGGCCTTGTGGGGTCCACCTGCACCTCGGTGTCCTAAGGCTTCCTCTGAGCAGCAGCTGCTTTTGTCCTCAGCTGTTGCCACTGAGTCTTCTGCCAAAAGCCACCTTCTCCCCCCATTTGGGGCCTCTGAGGGGCGAGACTGGGAGGAGAGGTCTTAGTGTGGCGTGGCTCTCTCTGAGTCTCCCAGGCAGTCCTTTCATGCTACAAGCAACTTGTTTTGACTCAGCTTTTGTTTTAAGACCAGTAGGACTTAAGATCCACATCAGGGTGTTGCACACAGCCTTCATCCCAGCCCAGACTGACTCCAGGGGTCCTTGGGCCCCTTCCCAGGGCTCTTTCCTTGTCTTAATTTGTCTCTGGCTGTCATGTCCTCTTGGGTCCTCTTCACCCGCTACCAGAAGAGTCTCTGAGGGAACCCTAGCCTGAGAGTCTTCGTCTTAGGAAATTTCCTCCTGCCTGTCTCTTAATCCTGCTGAACTCTGCAGAGGGGATTCTGAGAGATTGGGGTAGGGGGGACTTGAAATTCCAACATAACACAAGTTTTTTGGCTAGTGAGCAGTAGGCTAGCATCTCACCACTGGGAAACATGGGGCCCATCAGGGATCTGGGACAATCGTAGCTGGCCCTTAGGGGCAGCCCTCTGGCTCATGGGGCGCAGACTCCCCCGGCCCTTCCTCCAGGCAGTAGAGTGTGCCTGGGCTAAGAGTAGCCCTGGGCTCGGGCCCCACCTGACTCAGGCCATATTGCTTTATTGCAGCTGAGAAAGTGGATGTGATTGCTGGCTCCTCGAAGATGAAGGGCTTCTCATCCTCAGAGTCAGAGAGCACCAGTGAGTCCAGCTCCTCTGACAGCGAAGACTCCGAAACAGGTTAGGGTCCTAACTCAATGTCTTATCTCACTCTCGCCTTTGGTCAGCACCACTCCGTCCTGTGTCTTGGCTACCAGAGGCCAGATGTGGTGGTCATCAGAACTGCCTGGCCACCCTGTTAATCCTCCAAGTGGGGCAGTGGGAAGCCCAGCACCTAGTTCTCTCCCCCCATCACCCTTTGTGGCCTGGGCTGAGAGGACAAGTGGCTGAGGGTGCTGACACTACAGGGCCCAATGGGGAGCGGGAGGTGGGGTGTTGGGGCCCAGGTGGTGGCATCAGTCTTAGCGTAACTGCCCATTCCCTCAGTCTTCCCTGCATCATAGTTGCATGCGGTGCGACCGTCCCAGGTGACGTGCTTCAGCAGGTGTGGAGCAGCCTGCTGTCACCCCTGCAGTCACTGGGCTCAGGGGACCACCATCCTCCTCAGTGTGCTGACTCAGTGTGCTGGCTGCTCCTAACTGCACACATTTGGACACGTGTGTCCTGCACCTCTAACAACCCTCCTTATGCTCCGTGGGCCTGAAAGTGTGCTCCACCTGAGCAACAGCTTCGGCATGGGAGTCGGGGCAGGTGGAGATGCTGAGAGCTGTACAGTGGTGGGGAGACTGGGCTTTCCTGATGATCCTCGGGGGAACAAAGCCTGGCATGTTTTTTTCGTGGACCTGTCCCATCTCTGGTATTTTATTCTAACTGGGAATAAAAGATAAGCTTCACTTAATCAGTTCATGTAAATAATGTGACCTGATGATGGTATCAATGGAGGTTTGAGGATCACTTACAGCAGTTGGGAAGAGCAATGCTGCTCCGAGGCGTGCGCACACAGGGCCTCGTGTGGTCTCAGTCTGGAGAAGCAGGGGCCTCTGGGTCTCATCACTGTCACTTCCCTTTTACAGTTAGGGCAGCAGGCTTCCCAAGTGAGTGGGGGGGCTGAGGGCTTCTCCAGGATTCCAAATTCTGGATTACCTCATTTTCCATGGGCCCAAATAGATGAAATTCATTAGGGCATGTTTTGTATTATTGACCTCCTACTGTATGCGGCCCACTTCTGTTGCCATCCTTTACCCTTTTTCTATCACCACCACCCCCCATTGCTTTTTTATCCATCAACCAGCAGGGGGTGCTGCACCCCATGCCCCGCCAGGCCACTGCCTTTAGCTAGGTGAATGGCCCTATTCTTGGGCTGAATTAGCATTCCTGGTAGCCACTAACTTCTCACTTTGGGTGCCAGCCATATCTTCAATTTGCCTTCTCTCGGGGATCCTAGCAGGCTGCTCCTTCTAGGGGTTTCGCAGTCTTTCTCCTAAGGACCCAAGCAGTCAAAAGAAAACTCTTAAGGGCTGAAACTGGCAGGGGACCTGGTCGTTAAAAACAGTGCAGCTTGGCTGAGGAGGATCTGCTTTGGCTGATGTGGCACCTTAGGGGGCTGTGACTATGGCCTTTGTCCCTGGCCCCCAAGCTCCTCTTCAGGGTGCCTTTGCTTTCAGCAGGAACGCTCCTGCACCCTCCTGCTGCCGCCTCTGTGGGGCGGCCGTGACGGCATTTTCATCAGCTTTCTGCTGCTGCCAAGATGTTTTCTTTATTTTTTTTCACATTTTTCCCCCTTTTAAAGAAAGTGGAAAGATTGTGCAACAAGTAATCTGAGAGTCCTGGGAACAGCTGTCTTGGCGGGAAGGAGGGCGAGATTTACAATCTCAGAGCTGCAGGCACCGGGGCTCTGGCAATCCAGCCACCTCCAGCTTGTCTCTCTTCCCAGGCACCCTCCCCACCTTGGGCTTTGTGCGGGTCCCTTTTGTCTTTGTGGAGTTTGTACTGGGGAGCTCTTTCGTGAGCCAGCTGGGGCTTCTGCTCAATGGAAGGACCTGCTCTATGGGTTTGTACCCTCTAGCTGAGACGCTCCAGGTCCTGGGGTGGGAGCCTGTGCCCCTGAACCACTGAATGCAACCATCGCCACCCCACCCCACACAGGAAACTACACTCACTTCCCAGACAGCTCCTCCAGCAGCTGCTCGTGCTGGGTCCATGGAGTCCAGCAGCCCTGATTTCTGCAACCAGTTACAGGCAGTTCTGCTGGGGCGGGGGGCGGGGGACATTGGATGTATTTTCCTTGGTCTTTGGGGGTTTAAATTGTTTTGCCCTCCTTGTTCTTGTGTTTCCATTTGGATTGGAGCCGAAATTCCTGAAAGGACCTATTTTTGTCATTGTGTTAAGTCAGGGTCAGTTCTGCTGACACAGCCCTGAGACATGAGTCACCGAAAGAAACCAGAGGCACTAAATTGGGGATTGGGGGGCGTGTTATGTGGACCCCTCCTCTGACTGCTATTCAGACATGGATGCCAAGGACAGCTCAGGGCATGGGGCTGGTCCTGGGGGCCATGCTGCAATTCAGGGAGGCGGTGTGCTCCCAGAATTGGGTGGAGGGGAGCAGGGGCACTGCTTCTCCAGCATGGTCCCAGACCACCACATGCTGCTCCCACTGTCCAGCAGCATTCAGCACTATTGGCCAGTCCTACCACGTTCTATGAACCCAACTTTATTTGGGTTGTGGCCTTTTATTGAGGTTCAGTTGATGAAATCTGGATCTGCTCAAGGGTTCAGTATTGGAAGGGGGGGGTGAGTACAAGTGCCACCTTCCCACCACCCTAAGGCATTTGTAGATCTCAGCTGGGTAGGCTGGAGGTGGGTGCCCTGGTTCCTCCCTTGCCACTGCTGTCCCAGGTGGGCTGTGGGCAGAGGTATGGCCTCTGTCACCAGTGCGGGAATCACGTCATCCTTGCTCATGGGGCCAGTGATGTCCAAGGACTCTTATTTCAGCTTCCCCCATCACATTGCTGATGTCTGGTTCCTTCTGGGTGGGGGTGGACACACAGTTGGTGTCCCTCTCAGGAGCAGCTGCTGCCCCCAGCTACCTGGGCTGGGGTTCAGGGAGGTGTGGGGAAGTTCTCTTGGACTTGGTCTGGTCTTCTAGTTGCGGCAGGAGCACACTCCAGCTATTTTATTTAGTCTCGTTTCCTTTTCCCAGGATTGGAGCATGTGGGTGTTTTTTTAATAGCTCCAGGGGAAAAAGGAATGCTTGATGTTTTGGAAAGATTTGAGCTGGAAAGTGCAGATAGAGGCCATGGGACATTTCTTCCCAGGCAACCAGCCTCAGCTTCCGACCCTCGGGGTCTCTGAGATCTGAGAGACTCGGTCCCAGTCCGTTCTTGGGGCCTGCTGCTGCCAACTCCAAGGGTGTGCTCCAGCTTGCTCTCAGGGAAGGGGAGAGGCTCCTGGTGGGGGGTAGGCAGAGACCTGGAGGGGACAGCACTGTAGCCGGTATGCCCATACTGCCAGGTGACCCCTCACACACCCACACCCGCAGAGGTCGCAGCTGGTGGGATTCTGGGGCTCCCCGGGCGGGGCCAGACTTGTGGAATGTGCCCTGAGTGAGAGGCCAGCTGGTGGGCGGGTTTTTCCCATGCACACACTAGGGGACCATGGGAGTACAGTGTTGGTGCATCAGTGACTCCAGCAGAGGCATCTGCTCTGCTGTGTGGGTGGGAATGACCTCACGCCTATCTCAGGTCAAGGGGAGCCAAATTGGATGCCTCAGAAAAAGGAAGGATGACTTTCCTCCTTGTCCTGTTTTTTATTTTTTTGCCCTCCTTAACAGTGTAACTGGTTGCTCTGTAATTTTTTTCTTGGGGTTTATAGGAATGCAGAGATGAGGTGTTAGCTGGAGGTCCTACGTGCGAGAGCCCCAGTCTTGGAGGCTTTTCTTCCCCCACCCAAGCCCTGAGGGAGGGCCGCATCAGCTCCCTGAGATGGACAAGGTGTTGCAAAGCAGACCCAGGGGGATAAGCTCAGAGTCTGTGGGGCCTCATAGCGTGGCACATCAGTCTGGTCTGCAGGATGACAGCAAGTAGGACAAGGCAGGGGCCTCACATTCAGACTGGCAAAGAAGATGTCGGGGTGCATAGGGGACCCGTTATTGGAAGTAGGTCTGTCTAGAAGCATAAACAGGCTCAGGGTGGTATTGTAGACATTCGTGGCCCTTCTAAGGGGGGAAGGTGGGTCTGTCCCCACCTGAGGCTGGCCAGGCTGGGGCAGGGTTCCTAGGCTCCGGCGCCGTTCTCTGGTGCCCTGTTAGTGAGCAGGGCACAGGAGGCTGGCTCGGTCTGCGGTTCTTCTGTTCTTGTGACTTAAACGGTACATTCCACACCATTTCTCTCACACTGGTTTCTCTCTCCCTCTATGTAGGTCCTGCCTAATCATTGGACACGGACTCTTAATAAAACGGTCTTCAGTTCCAGATTCCTTCCCAGCAAGCTCTAGCTTAAGTCCATTTTCTTCCGTGAAAGGGACAGGACTCCATCAAGTTATGGAATTCTCAGAGCCCTGGGCCTGTCCCCAGGGTGCATTAGTCATGTCCATCAGAGCAGCACACGCCTAGTCCCGCCTCCGGGAAGGCTTGCCTGCCTGGCTGGTCGCCCGGGCCTCCTGTGTACAGACTGCCTGGCTGTCCTGCCCAGCCTCCCTGGTCGTCTGGGCTCCTCCGGGTGGGTGGCATCTCCCAGAGGGTGATGACAATCCCTCAGCACACGCATATGTGTGGTGCTGCTCCGTGTGCAAGGCCCCATCACAAGTATATTTTCTCTCTCTTCATCCCTCCGTCTTTTTCTGGGACTCTGGACCTAAACCGCTTCTGTCCTGGACCTGGCAGTGATGTTAGCCCAGGGGAGATCTCCTTCAGCCTAAGGAAGAAAACTCTAACATCTAGAGCTTTCCCAAGTGAGGAGTGGGGGCTGTCCCTCAGCATGCCTTCTCTCTGGTGGCCCATGAGGCTTCATCAGCCAGAGGCTGTCACCAGCCATAGCTGACTCACAGCTCCTTGGAGTCCTTGGATTTTTGTTGTTCCCATTGTTGCCTGTTGGGCGTTTTCCCAACTTGTTTGGCCTCTTCTAAAGCCGCATAGAGAAAGGACCTCCTTGGCTGCCTTCCGTCCCTCCCAGGTGATTAGAAGCAGGCTGCAATGGGCAGGAGCTGCTGGGCAGGCCTCTGGTGAGGGCATTCGGGAAGGAGCGGCCATGTCGCCAGCTCACCTGGCCCCTGGAGCCCATCATCCCTTCTCCCCAATGGGGTTGGGGTCTGGCCTAGTGGGCGAGAAAGGGCTCAAAAAACCCAGAGCACTGAGTTGGTCAGTGGTGAGGGTGTCAGAGCCTTCGGGGCCGGCTCCCTGCACATCTTTGAGGGATGTGGACACCAGAGCACCCTCCTAGTCTTTAGTCCCCTGGATCAATGGCAGCCGTTGGGGGTGGGGCAGACCAGGGTAGCCACATCATCCAAGTCCTCTGAGAGACACTGAATAGGCTTTTTTGCTCTAAAAATAAATATCGGCCCTTTTTTGGTCATGAATCCAGCATCTCAGCAGAAACTGCCTGATGTGAAGTCCCCTAAGGAGCATTTTTAAGTGTAGTTTGTGTGTACTTCAAGGCCTGGCTGCATTTTGGAGTCAGCCTCCTGGAACTGCAAGCAGGCCTGAGGAGGTGCAGTTCACTGTCAGCAGGCCCAAGCACCTGTAACTGCCCCAGACTGGCTTTGGCCTTGGGCTCTAGCTCCAGCCTCGCCAAAACCTCTAGGTCCCTGCAGCGATGCTTAGAGTCCCAGACTGCTCCCTGATCCTCTGACCAGTCAGCTTCCAGTCAAGTTCTATTTGCCAAACAGACTATTTTGAGCTGCCCTTTGGCCTGTTCCTGATGTGTTGCCAGTGCAGCTCGGCCTGGCTGAGGCCAGGGGGCTTCATGCCTGGAGATTCCCACAGGACAGTTGGGAAGCCGCTGGCATTGTCTTTCTGGGAAGATTCTGCTGTTTTGGAACAAATGGCAGCATGGATTCCCACAGTATCTGCCTGTGTGCCGCCTGCACCTCTTCCCACACAGTTGCACATAGGCTATAGCCACAGGCCAGCTCTCCTGCGGGGTCCTTGCACTCTTGCTATCCAGGGACCCCGTCCTTCGTGCCCATGGGGCTTCCATCTGGCAGAGAACTTGATCTTTAGACTCAAGCTGTCACCTGTGCCCCAGAAACATCAGAGAGCAGTGCCCACTCACTTTTTATTAAAGCCCCCACTGTGCGGGCATTGGGAGGTGTCAGCCAGGCCTCAACACCAGTGGCCTTCGGGGCCCGAGGAATTGCTGTCGGGTGGGAAGCCCAGGTGTCCGCTGGTGCCAAGGCTCCCGAGTTAGTTCAGTTGAGGGGCTCTGCGCCTCTGCCCTGCCCTTACCCTCCACCCTGTCTCCTTCCTTTGAGTTGGGAGGGTGGGGGGAGGAATCAGTGTTTTAATCAGATTTTACAAAAACGTTTTAATTCTTTGTACAATTACCATCCTATGTAAAGATGACATTTGTGTTGAGTTCAAGATTTTCATGGAATAAAGATCACACAGTACTTGAGGCCATCTTCATGTAACCCTTTCTAGAGAGTTTTGTGTGGGGGTGTCTTGGGGCTGGTTATGTCGTGAAGCCGTGTACTTCCTGTCTTGTCTTCCCACCAGTCACTCCGACACAAGGCTCGGGCCACGTGAGCCAGACGCGATGTCCCAAATAGGCTCCAGCCCCTTTAGTCCTGTGGTGCTGGGAGTGTGCTGTGCGCCTCCCAGCCTCTCTCCTATTCTAGGCCTGCCCTGCCCGGCATTGCCTCGGAGCCCTGGGGTACTCCCAGTGACCTTTCCAAGGCAGCCAAGATTTGTTGCCTGGAACCCTCAGGGCCTCAGTGCACTTTTTCCTCATGAGTTCTCGTATGGGCCTCTCTGCTCAGGGCCTACAGGGAAATTGTGAAGGCTCAGAGCCACCGTCCCTCTTATATGGTGGGGAAAACAGTATTTCCCCAGGGCCACAAAATGACAGGCTGCCCTGACCCTGCCCATCCCTCTCTCTCCCATGACGTGTCTTCTGGTCAGAATTTACCCATTGACCCCCTTCTTTCCCCAGCTCCCCCTACAGGGCCCTCCAAAAGCATGCCCAGCATATGAGCCACTGCCCCCAGCCTCCTTCCAGCTACAGTTTATGTTAATGGAATTGGTTCTGGAACAGGAGCCCATTCATGAAGAACACCCTGGCCTCTTCCACGTCCTTGACTCAGTGGCCTCTCAGCGCTGAGCTTTCCCCCAGCACATGCAGGGTCCCTTTGATCCTGGGCCTACAGCCTCTCTAGTCCAGTGCTTTCCCCTGACCCCCACCCTGCAGCTGCCAGACATCCTGTGTCCCTGATCCTGCAAACCCCTAAACTTTCCCCTTTTGTATATCTTATCCACAAGAGTGTCCCTCTCCCCAGGTTTCTTAGTGTGACCCAGAATCCTGAGCCCTGTATCCTGGAATCTGTAGTGTTCCTGTTTGGGGCTGTGCCTGTGGCTCTCATGTCCCAGGTGTCCCCAGTTGCTGCCATTTGTATGAGAACATGTGTCTAGCTACTGAGGTCTGTGTCGCTGTCTTGTCTTTTCCATGGAGTGGTGCGCTCTCGCAGGGCACAAGGTCCTTTCTCATCCCTTTTGGTGGCACTTGGCACCCTGAGGCCATGTGCCTCACAGCTTAGCATGGCCCTTCGTGAAGCAGCTACAAGCAGAGGTAGCCCTGCTTTGGGCAAAGCCTGTCTTCTGACCCCAGCAGCAAGAGCCAGCACCCTGGCAAGGAGCTCAGGGGATGCCTGGCAAGGTGACAGGAGTCCAAAAGGCACCATGGGTCCCACCTCCCACCTGGTGGTTGGCAACTGCATCATTTCCTAGCCCATAAGTGCCAGCCGGGCTTCTCTCCCTGTGGGTTTGCACACCGGTGGGGTTTGGCAAGGGGCATCCCATCTGGCAAGTTCCTTAGCATAACCTTCTACTGGAGTGGGACATGCTGGGGCGTGTGGGCTCTTGCAGACTCCTCGCAGACATGTCCACACAGCGGTGGCAACAAGCTGTGGGCCTCTGAGGAACCAGGGCATATACTGCCTTTTTCCTGAAGCACATCCACTGTGTCCCAACATGGATCTTCTCTGAGACCAGTCTCCCAAGAGGAAGGGGAATATGGCCATGGCACTGAGCACCTCCCCTGTCTGTTCCTGGTGGTTCCGGGGAGGCTGGCGGACCAGCCTGCCTGTGTTCCCTCCCTCCCCTGAAGTGCTCACACTGTGGCCTTCCCACATGTCAGTACTCTCCTCACCTGTCCCCATGGCTCTGTAGCCAGGGCTTGGCCCACATGGGCACCACACTGTCTGTCTCACCCCAATTTGCATATCTGCTATCCCTAGGGTGATGGGAAGGAGTGCACCTCAGTTGGAGGCCACTGGCTGCTTCACAGCAGTGTGATCTGGGGCAAGTTCCTTAACTTCCCTGAGCCTCACTTTGCTCATCTGTCAAATGGATGTGATCATTTTGAACACCATGGTGGTTCCACGACAAAGGTTGGGGCGCACACTTTTGGGTCACCGTAGTGGCCTCTGACCAGCAAGTAAGGGGGAGACGTTGGGCAAGAAGGTTTCCACAGCTCAGTCCCCAAGGCCCGGGGTGTCATCCTTTGATGGAGCTAGGGGTCAGGAGCTGGGCAGGGAGGCTTTTCAAGCATGGTCCCTGTTAAGTAAAGCGGCAAGCATATGGGTATGTGACCCCACATTGTCTCTCCCTTCCCCGTGACCGACTCCCTTCCCAGACAGAATCCAGCCACCCTTCTCATTGTCACCAGCCCTTCTGAACTCACCCTGTTTTCTCCTGGCTGTACGTCCAAGGATACTCTGTCTTCCCCAGGCCTCACTACCTTCTCTTTTCCTCTGCAGAGATGGCTCCGAAGTCAAAAAAGAAGGGGCACCCTGGGAGGGAGCAGAAAAAGGTATGTGGTCTCGGGAGTGGTGGCCACCTCCCTTTGTGGTCCCTGGGCGGACCCTGGGGCTGGCTCAGGGGGTTCTGCCTGCCTGATGTGAGCCCGTGTGTCTATTTGTCTGTCTGCAGCACCATCATCACCACCATCAGCAGCTGCAGCAGGCCCCAGGCCCTGGGCCCCAGCAGCCCCCACCACCTCCCCAGCAGCCTCCACCACCCCCACCTCCCCAGCAGCAGCCGCCGCCCCCACCACCCCCACCTTCCATGCCGCAGCAGGCTGCTCCTGCAATGAAGTCGTCGCCCCCACCCTTCATCGCTGCCCAGGTCCCTGTCCTGGAGCCCCAGCTCCCAGGCAGCGTCTTTGACCCCATTGGCCACTTCACCCAACCCATCCTGCACCTGCCGCAGCCCGAGCTGCCCCCTCACCTGCCCCAGCCGCCCGAGCACAGCACTCCACCTCATCTCAACCAGCACTCGGTGGTCTCTCCTCCAGGTGAGCTGTGGCTATGGCCACCTGGGTGCGGGGAGGCCCCTTCCCATCCCGGTCTCACCACTGCAACTGGACACTTGGAGCAAACTTTGGAACCCATCTTAGCATCAGTTGTCACTGAGGGGATGCCAGCAACTTCCCAGGGCCATTGTGGAAATGAAGACACCCCAGAATAGGCTTTGCTTAGAATTTTGCTTTGGTACTGATTTGATTCTGCTGGGCCAGTCATTGTGAGATGAAAAATGATGTGACCCCTCGGCAGTTTCCATTCAGGGCTGGGGGGACACGCAGTCATCCCAGACAGGGAGGTCTGATGGGTGGGGGTGGGCGGTGAGAGTGAAGATGGGAGCAGTGCGAGGGAGGGATGGAGGGAAAGAGCTGGAGGGTTCGGCGCAGGGCAGGATGACGGGTAAGGGCCTGATCCTGTAGACCTCCCTGGGACCTGTCCTTATTCTGGAGTTAGTGGGAAGCTAAGGAGGGTGAGGAGAGGGTGCTGGTTGGAGGGAGATGGGTAGGAGGTCAGCATGAAGTAGAAGGGCTAGACTTGGGGCCTCGGAAGCCTCACTGCTGCACTGTTGTGTCCTTCCAGCTTTGCACAACGCTCTGCCCCAGCAGCCATCGCGGCCGAGCAACCGAGCTGCTGCCCTGCCCCCCAAGCCTGCCCGACCCCCGGCAGTGTCACCCGCCCTGGCCCAGCCCCCCCTGCTCCCACAGCCCCCCATGGCCCAGCCACCCCAAGTGCTGCTGCAGGAGGACGAAGAACCACCCGCCCCGCCCCTCACCTCCATGCAGATGCAGCTCTACCTGCAACAGCTGCAGAAGGTGCAGCCCCCCACACCTCTACTTCCTTCCGTGAAGGTGCAGTCCCAGCCTCCTCCCCCCCTGCCACCTCCACCCCACCCCTCCGTGCAGCAGCAGCTACAGCAGCCTCCGCCAC